TTGGCTCTCACTGGCTTGGAGGCAGTGTTCCTGGTCATTCCTACGTGGCTGCCCCAGGCAGGCCTCTGGCCTCCCATAACACCCGAATCCGCCTGTCAGGCACCTCTCTCTCCTTCCCAAGAGTAGACAGGGCCTGACAAAGTCAAGTTAAAACGCAGTTACATTACCCAGGGCTGCAGTGTCCAGGTGAGATGACCCCCTCTCCATAAGCTGGCTGGCTAGCCACTCTGGAGCCCTCGGGGACAGAAGACTTTGCCTGGCAGAACATGGCCACCACCAGAGGGCAGCAGCTGCACGCTCAGGGCAGGGGGTCAGAGGCTGGCTTGTAGAAGGTACAGAGGACTGGATCCTGCCTGCCCCCTACCCCCTCCCCACCCAGGGATATCTGGAAGCACCTCCCTAAAGAGTGGAGGTGAGGACAAGGGGCTGTCCGCAGAAGGGAGAAAGCTTGGGCACCCCACTGCCGGGACGCTGCCTGCTCCTCAGTGGCTGGTTCAGCCCTGCTGTGTCTGCCCAGCACAGCCCCTGGCCCAGCTTTCCACACACAGCAAGCAGTTCGGAAGGCTTTTGCAAGGAGTCACGACAGGCACCCCCCACCCCCACCCCCACCCCCACCTGCTCACCTTTGAGCCTGGTCACGGACCCTGCTGCCGCTGTCAGGCCAGGTGAGGGAAGGGCCATGGTGGTACGCAAGGTAAACTCAGGTTTCCCTTCGTGGAACACTTTTATTGTTGGCACTGCAGCGCAGGTGCTGTCCCGGGCTCTGGCAGGCAGCCCCCTTTCTCCCAACCCCACAGCCCTTCTGAGAGATCCAAAGCCTCCTGGGATTTACAGCCCCCGACAGAGATAGGAGGGCCCAGCCGGCAAGATAAGCATGGACTTGGGTGTGCTTATTTACTAATCTGGAGTCAACAGTTTCAGGTGTTTTCCAAAACATCAGAGATGCGAAGTTGTTCGCTACAGATTAATGAGTAAGCACTCGTAAGACTATGCTTACCTGGCTTAATGAGTAACCTCCCTCCCTCAGCCTGGGATCCTGTCACCAAGGCTCAGGGGCTGTAAAGAGGAGGGCAGTGACCTAACAGCAGGGCCTTGACACCAGGGCCAGCAGGGGTGGAGGGCTCTGCCTGGCACGCAGGGAGGCAGGGCTCTGCGAGGGCTACATCCAGCTCGGTGCCTCGCCTGTGCCTACACATGCCGCGAGCGTGCCGAGGGGCCCTGGGGGCCGGGCCTCTCACAGGGACTTTCCCTTGCTGCCGGGGCTCTCTGTCACGGAGTTGGCCCAGGTTGGGGGCTTCTGAAGGTCCCAAGTACTTGGGCCTCTGGTGAAGCTTTGCATGCCCCAGGTAGTGGGGCTCCTGTCGCTCAGGGACACACACCCCCCACCCCCACCCCCTGCTCCTTCTGAGCTCACCATTGGAGCCATGGCGTCCATCCATTTTGTGGACAGTCTTCCTCTGGTTTGCTGACCTTCCACTTGATCCAGCATGATGTCCTTCCCAGGGACCAGGCGCTCCAGATACTGTGTCCGATATGCCTGCAGGTCTTCCAAGACAGCCACTCCCTCTTCTAGCAGTGCCAAGCACACGGGGGCGCTCTCCAGCAGCACTGCCACCCACAGCCGTCCCTCCTCTCCGCTTCCTTATGCAGGGCCTGGCTGTGGCAAGCAGAGGTGGAGGTGTGGGCTCAAAAATACCATGGCTGACCAGGGCCACCTCTGTCTTCCGAGTGGCATCTTTACTTTGTACACCGGAACGAGCAGCAGATTTGCCCAATGTGATAGATAACATACATTTGATTTCCTGCCTGCTGCCAGTCTTTCCTCTGTTTATCAGGATGTCCCGGTCCCACTCCCACCAGACCCCGCCTGTCCACTGGGGACAGTGCTGTGCTTGCTGGGGGTGCTGGGACCTGTCCACATCTCTGTCCCTCAGCTGCTCCACCCAAGGGTCCTGTGTTTTTGTCTAAAGACACTGCGCTCTAAGCCCTTGCCCTTCCTTCCCCAGCCTCTCAGCTTGTGGTGTTTCTGTTTGCTATTTAATGCCACGCCAAGGAAAGGGAAAGAGAAAAAAATTAAGTGCCTAGTGTGAATCCCAAGGTCCCGGAGTGATGCAGCTGGAACCCACCCTCAGCCTGAAGAAGTGGTCCCAGTGAGGTGACGGCCAAGAGGGCTGGGTGCTGCAGTCCTACTGTCACCCCGGGGTGGCCATCAGTCTCCAGTGGGCACCGGACTCTGCGGCAGCCAGAACCCTGTGACTCACCTGCTAAGAGCATTGTACCACGGATTATCAGACTCCCCAGTCTGTAGCTCACAGTCCTCGGGAGGACAGCCAGCGCGCTCCTTAGACGTGACGATGGCCACACTTCGTCCTGAGTACTTTGCACGTTGTCAGGAGGGAGCAGAACCCGGATGGGTTAGTCTGGGTGGACTGGAGAAACAAATCCCGGGACTCGCATCTAAGTCTAAGCAAGAGCTTTACATAAAGAGTCATTGTCTGTTAAGAAAACATCCCAGTCCAGCCCAGATCAATTCCCTAGGTCTGATATTAGCCCTTAAGTCCAATACCAATCTATAAGTTCCTCGTCAGACTCATGCAACAAATGCAATGGTGCCGAATGCAGGAAGATCACAGGCCAGTGGGTGGGAAATCTTGTGGATCCGGTGGCAGTGGAAGCATCCCCACCCAGGGCTCTGGCTCCAACAGCATGGCTCCATCTGGTTTGTCCACAGGAAGGTGAAGCAGAGTGTGTGTCCCGCCTCTAGGGAGGAAGACAGGAGTTCCCGGAATCCTTAGGAGAAGGCCATGCCCACACAGAGGCATCTTTGGCCATGACCTGATTGACAGGCTAGACTCCACCCCTTCGCTCAAGTTGACTGGAGATGATGTAACGGCCACGCTGGGGAAGGATGCCGTGCTTGGCCGAGCGAAGGGGCAGTGAGGAAGAGGCAGACTCCACACAGGGGTGGTCAGCTGGGCGACTCAGGACTGGGCGGTGTTTTGAGCTACTTTGTACGGGGCTACTCTGAGTGATCCCGACTTGATGGCACCTAGCACCACCACCCTCACGGGAATACATGTTCCCATCGGGCCACAGCCCCGCACGCCCGGGCGGACGCCCGCACTGTTCCACAGCTGAGAAGGACTGGAAGGACCGGACCGACGTAGGGCCCTCTGCATTCTGTCCCTTCAGCGTGTGTGCTTGGCTGTCCGGGACAGGCGCATGGGGAAGAGGGACAGAGGGTCCTTGGCTGCCTGTATTTCTTGGAGCATGGTTGCTTTCAAGAACAAGCCTGGTGGCCACATCTCAGGACTCCAGGGGAGAGCAGGACTGTGCTGGGTGAGCAGAGCCGTCCATAGTGGGCCAGAACGGCCTGACTCTCCTTCTCTAGGGCTGGCCTGACTCAGCTCACTGCAAACATTGCCTCAGTTGACCTTATCTCGGATGTTTTCTCCCTAGGGAATTTCAGAAAGAGCCATAAATCTAGAACAGGAAGTGCGCAGCCAACTCCCCCTCCCCCTGTACTGGTGGCCTCTCAGCTCCCTTGGGTCTCTGTAGCCCTCTGAGGTTGACACCAGAGAAGTCAGCATTGGTGGTGGTGGGGGGGTTGTTTCACACAAAAGGGCCCCATCATGACGTGACAGTAGGGGGGGGTCAGTGAGTGGGGGGGGTCGTCAGCTTCAACCTCTCAGAAGTCTGGTTTTGTGTTAATTTTGCCTCAAACATCACAGTGAGCAGTCCACAGCCCACTCTGGTCTTTCTCCCAAAGTCGGTGCTAGTAACGTACCCAGCCCCCCCTGTAGACGCTGGTCTGGCTGGGAGACCCTTCCTCGGGTGACAGTCTGTGTCTCAGAACCCACTGCACCCCAAGGCCATCCCAAAGCTGGGGAGCTAGCCCTGTGCCCGGGGCCCCTCATCCATTCCTGACCCCAGGTCCAGGACCTCACCCAGGCTCCTCCCAGGACAGCTCTCTGATGCCTGCCCCACCCCTCCCTGCTGGTCCCCAGACCTGGGGCAGGGCCAGTCCCTCTGCCCTCCCTCCCTGGGCTGGGTGCAGTGGGGGGCCTGCAGTCTCCAGCCTCTCTTAGAGGCCCCAGAGGCACTGGACCCTGAGCTTGGGAGCCCTTGGAGCATTCCAACCTCTGGGTTCCCGGGTCCCCAGTCCTGGAATGCTCCCCCACTTATAGTAAAGGGGCCCCTGAAGGAGAGGGGGGGACCTGATGGGGTTAAGGAGGGGAAGAGACAGGATGGGGAAGGGGTAGGGGTGGAGAGGGGACAAAGATGAGAAGCTTTTAGGGGAGTGTACAGCATGGGGGTGGCCGGAGGAGCTGAGCTGCCCCTCAGCAGAGCTGCCTCTTACTGCCCCCATCCCACCACACCAAACCTCAGCTATTTCAGGGCCACTTGGAACAGCCCTCGGCCCAGCCTTCCCTGACAGACCCTCCCAGGATTGCAGATTGCGAAAGGCTCCGGAGTGGCCAGGAGACATTCCAACTGCTGGTCTCTCTGAATCATCTCTGGAGGCTGGAATGAAGGGTGTGGACAGACGCCATCGCAGATGCACAACCACACAGCCTCCACCTCATGCCTGCAGCATGCAGCACTCGGTTCACAGGCACCCTGGGGACGAGGGTGGGATACCCTTCTTGGTGACATCCTGGAGCCCGAGAGCCCAGCCTCGCCCACCTCACCACCCCATGCCCCATGTCAGTGGCACAGTCTGAGAGATTTCTGCTCCGGAGACCCCCAGGACAGCTCACACAGACCCCTTGTGGCCTGCCTGAGCCCCAGGTGCCGCCTGCGGTGGCCAGCCTCTATGAGTGGGCTGCACATCTGCGTCTGTGAGGACATGTGTAAGGCATTAGCCCCTCTTCCTCAGCATGCCTCACTCACTCGCGAGGGCCCCTGGGAGTCCCTTTTTCTGAGGGACAGCCTCTTTATGCCAAAAGGGAGCTGGCTGGGGACTTCAGGGGAGGGATTGAACTTGAGGCAACAAAGCCTCCAGCTGCCGCACTGCCGACAACAGCCGGCCACCAGACTCCAGTCCCCTTTCCTTCACAGTGAGTCTCGCTTGGGGAGCGGGGACTGCACGATGGGGGTTAGTCGGGGTCCAATGAGGTACCTTCCTGTCTCCCTGACTGCCTGGCAGTGCAGCACGGAACAGGTTTGGTAGTGGGTGACCCTGGTGGCCAGTCTCTGAGTCCTGCGATACGGTCATCATGGAGGGGACAGGCGGACATTGCTAAGGTACTAAGGTCACACATACCCCATCCTGGGGTATGGGGCCAGGAGGCTTGGAGACAGAGTAGGGGTCCCTGGAGGGGAGAGACATTGTAAAGACCCCCCAGAGTACAAGGACACCAGGGGCTTCAGTGCGGAGGGTGGGCGCTGGCACCAAACCTGCCCACCAGGCTGCAGACCCTCCCCTGCGAGGCTGGGGGCCAGGGTTACTGGGAACCAGGGTAACAGATGTGACCCTTGCATAGTAGGTCATGGGGTCAGACTGGGCAGGCAGCCACACAGTGAGGTGGGGTGGGGCGGCCTGGAGGACAAGGAGAGGAGGCCACAGCCTGGGGGTGGCCAGTGTGGGCAGGGAGGGCCGTCCGGTCTGGTCTGGGTCTGTGGCCCAGACCCAGGGGGTAGACGTGTCATCTGGGAGGGAGGCTTTGGGATTTGAGATGGGGGTGGCCACTCCAGTGAAGATGTCCAGTTGCACGGGTGGGCGGGGGGGCTGGAGCAGAAGAGTCCAGGGCCGCACAAGGTCCTCCTGGTAAGGGGAAAGAGTGACTGGTGGGGGCGTCCTGGGGCTCCTTCTCACACCCCCACTCACTTCCTACTGGAGTCTGGGTGAGGGAGGAGGAACTGGCTCCAGGAGCCAGTGGTGGGCGGGAGTGAGAGGGGCAATGACACGGAGCACCCAATCCCTGTGCTAAGTGCACGCGATCAAACTGTGTGCGTGCATGTGATCACACTGCGTGTGCGCAATTACACTGTGTCTGTGACTACACTGTGTGTTTTACACTGCGTGTGCGCAATTACACTGTGTCTGTGGGACTACACTGTGTTTTACACTGATTACAGTGTCTGTGTGGGTGTGATTACACTGTGTCTATATGTCTGCATGATTAGTGTATGCGGATGTGATCACAGTGTCTGTGTGCTTTACACTGTGTCTGTATGAGTGTGATTACACTGGGTCTGTGTGACTACACTGTCCAGGTGTGTGTGTGTCTGTGTGATTATAGTGTCTGTGAGGATGTGATTATACTTTGTGTGTCTGTGGGACTATACTCTGGGATTACACTGTGTGTG